GAAAGATGCCCAAGAGAAAGTCTCCCAAGCCTTTCCCTCCGATCTTAAACTTTGTAAGTAAAATGAATATAGAGTTTCTAGCGAACTAAAAACTAAGAACGTTTTCTGGTCTTCTGTAGCTTTCTTTAAGGCAGGACAGTCTTTCAATGGATGGAGGACGGAAACTGACAAAAGTCACTTCTTGCTAGACCATATTTTAGGTATTCAGCGGAAGAGGTGGGTTGACCTGAACCAGTCAGGAAGTGGCAGGCTGTATGTAAATATTCCCTTCACAATCTCTTGGCCAATGAAACTAGGTACTCAGATAAGATGAGCTTTCAATTTAGTGATTTTGGAGTCATATGCAAAGCTAAATTTCCATATTTTGTATGGCTGTTTACTAGATGTGGCAAAATGGGTTGGTGTCCCTGCCATGGGTCATTAAGTATGGTTTCTTATTTTTTTTCTTCACCAGAGATAATCAACAGTGCTGGTTAGCCTTTGGAGCTTTTGTGACAGAGGAATGGAGTTTTGGCCTGCCTTGATCCACACAAAATGGCTTTTCTAAGAGATAAAATGAGTGGAGGGGAAACGGATTATCATAACAGTGTGCACGTGTCATTGTAGTTAGAATGGGAATATAAAGATTTTCATATATAGGTTTTTCCTTCTTGATTGTTCATATTCATATTTCTCTGGTTTTTATAGATTTATTCTTTAAGTAATATTTTATTAGGATGTTAGAAAGGCCTGTTATATAGAAGGCTTTCCTCTTGTAGGTCTGATATTGCTAGCAAGCAACATAATAGGTACAAAGTTCATGATTCTGTAGTTCTTAGGGCAAACCTTTCAATGTTTGGGTCAGATAAGATTTTAGTCTCGTATCGGTAATGAATACTTTTGTTTGGGTGAGAACAAGCTTTAGCCGATATGCCTTAGGTCATGTCAAGTAAATATGTGACGCTATTGCATAGAAACACCTTACTTCCATTTGACCAATAAGGAGATTTTTATGTAAATGTTGTTTAAGCTTTTGTAACCAATTATGCCTTTTGAATATTATTCCCATGATGATGGTATGATGATGTCATTTTAAGTATTTAACTTTATGTATTTCCTGAATCTGTTCAGAATATGCTCAAGAAGAAGATGAAGAAGAAAAAGAAGAAAGTTGTCAATTTTTGGTTAACTATTTGGTCTAATTCAGAGGATGGCGGAAGACCGGAAGGCCTGGAGGGAGCTGGTCCATGGGGTCGCAAAGAGTCGGACTCGACTGTGCGACTGAACAACAACAACAACTAATTGTTTTCCTATTAATTGAGGCATGTTTCCTGATTATGCTGAAAAGAAAGCAATCAATTTTGATGGGTCCTTTGGCCTGTTTTCCATATTTCATTACAATAAAATACAAGAACTTCCTCCTCATTTGACTTCATTTTTGACATGGAATCTAATGTCTACAACACATCTTTGCCAGCAGTAGTTTTCATGAATAGCAGAGGGGGCAGATGGCTGTTTCAGCCTATGCCTCTTTTCTACAAGGGTAGCAGGTCTCTAACACTAGTACACTGAACCCTGCAGATGGAGAGGTTCTGTAAACCACTTTGATATTAGGGTACATGAATAAGTAAATAACACACATAAAAGCTTCACATTTCTTACATATAAATCAAAAGTTTAGTCATAATTTCTGTCACAATGGCTGACAATTAAATATAAAGTGAACAGTAGAAATACAAAAGAACATTGCATTGTCACTGGCCCATCAGAGTTCCAGAAGCATCATTTTGGTAGCCTGTTAATGACACCTTAAAGACTAATACAATTATTGTGGCATGTTCACTTCACCAGAACTGTCCACGGCACAGATGTAAAAACTGCAGTCAGTGACATCAGAAGACAAGTGCCAATATCTGTGCATTTGAACCAAGACCACTTCTGATGAAAGTCTGTTCTAGTTCACAAAAGTTTATGCTACAATAAATGTATTCGTTTTTAAGGTGCCCAAAGACTCTTTTTTATTATTTATTTTGGGGACATAATTATCATTGCCTTGAAAAAGAAAACTGGTTTGCTCTTACAGGGTCTTTGTAAGAAAATCTTCAGCTTCCCAGTCCTAAGCACACTAAAGCGTCATCTACACACAAGTCATCATCAGTTCCTGGACAGTCAAACTTCTAACTGCAGTTGAAAAATTGCATCTTCAAATGCCTCCTCACACATACAAACTCTGAGTATTAAAAAACTAGCATGTTAAGGAGGCAAGGCTAAAGTCTTTCTTCTGGACCCGTCATCTTCTACATGCAGTGAGAGTGGCTATTTTAAAACAGGAACATGTATCATTTGAAGGAGAGACACTTTTTATGAAGGAGCATTCAGCCATGTAATTTCTCACTTGCCATCAGAATCAGTACAGCCCAAGAACAGATGTACTGTGTGATAAGCAGTGTGTGCAAACCTGGCCAATTCTAGAAAATAATTTCATTTAAACCATACTGGATCTATTACCAAATTAACATATTTGGAATGAAAGTTTTATTTTAAAAACAAATTTAAAGAAGCCAGTAAACTCTAGTCCATGTAAAGAATGAATTACTTTTAAAAAATTGATAAATGCATAATTTGAATTAGAACTGCATTTTATATGTAAATGAATCAACATATCAGTATTCTGACTCCAGTGTCTGAAAACTTTGCTATTTGTATGTCTAGCATGTTGACCAATATCTTGAACTTATGTGTATGTGTGTGTAAAATGAAGAATACTAACGACTTGGGCATTCTTCAATCATGGATTTTTCCAGCACATTCCAGTACACCATCATTTCACTAGCAGTGATAAAATGGCTTGTAACAAGTTTCCTGTAGCGACAAGGAGAAAATTCAACTCGGTCTGCAAAAAATGTTGGCTCTGAATGAAGCATTTCTGGCTTAATTTTGAGTTCAGCAAGGCACAGACCAACAAACACATCTTCCAGTTTAATATATGGGACCTTTTTGGAAATGACGTACACCTGACTAGCAAGATCAGTGGAGAAAACATAGCCAGTTCCTGAACAAAATGGTGGATACTTTCTTCCTGGATATTCCCATTTATTAACATGCCATTTACTACCTAGACGCCTTATTGGGTGCTCATGCATTTTTAAAGCACCTGTGAAGAATCTGGTTGTTTTGTTTCTTTTTAAAAGAAGTTCTGTCAGGTAATAGGTATTAACAAACATATCAGAATCAGTTTTCATGACAAAGCTAGACTGTGGACAGAATTTATGAATCCATTCAAGTCCCATCAAAGTCTTTAAAGTCAAATTGTAATATGTATCCAGAAAATCCTTTTGGATGATGTCTTTATACAGTAAGCTTTCTGTAGTAACAGCAAACTGGTGATAGGGATGCGAATCGTTTCCTAGGAGAAAATATGTCACAATGTGTTTGCCTGCTATTATTCTTTCTTTGCCCCACGTTTCACGGATAGCCATCCGGTCTGTAGTTTGGTTTAGCTGAGATGTTACCAGTATTACTAGGAATGGTGGATTCCTACCACAATTCTTATCAGGCAGTGTCACAAAATCTCCAGTGTTTCTGTCAACAACAGGCACATCCTTTTGATAGACTGGGAAGATTCCAATAGTACTCAACATGGTGAAACAAGCTACAGCGAACGCCATCATGAAACAAAAGCCATATCTCCTGAAGATCATCTGAAAAAAGAAGAAAATAAATCTAATGGGGATAATTCCTATTCGATGCCTTTTTCAATGTAATATATCAACTAGTTTAACAAGTTGTTTCAGTTGCTTATGTGTGCATTCAGTTTCTAATGGAGTAGTTCTTTTCACATTTGTCATCACAGAGATCTCTGCAGTAATTTATCTTTAAGCCTCTAGATCAGTGGTTCTCAACCCTTTAATACAGTTCCTCATGACCCCCAACCATAAAATTATTTTCGTTGCTACTTCATAACTGTAATTTTGCTACTGTTATGAATCGTAATGTAAATATTTGATATGCAGGATGTATCTCGGTTCCGAACACCATCAAAAAATTGTGTTTTTCGATGGTCTTAGGCGACCCCTGTGAAAGGGTCGTTCGACCCCCAAAGGGGTCGCGACCTACAGGTTGAGAACCACTGCTCTAGATAGTGTACATAATTATACACACACACACAATACATAGGAACATGTCCTCCATTTTAAAATAAGGAACACACACACAATACATAGGAACATGTCCTCCATTTTAAAATAAGGAACCTAGATACAGCAAGACTAGCAAGCAACACTGGTGGAGAAAACAAAACAATCATTTCATTCATTCATTCTATGGATATTTCTGTTGGGCTTGCACAATAACCATCCATATAGCTCTAATTATCAAAGCTTAAACATAGTTTGAGGATAGGGGAATATCATGCTTCCACCAACTTAAAATTGTTATTTGGTTTTAAGGAATACAATTCCCCAGCTAGTACCGAAAGCACCATCTTGGTGGAACCCACTACAAATTGCTGTCTCCTACTTACTTCATTGGCATAACCAGATATTTAGAAACCATAATGGATAATGCATTATAGAAGCAATTTTCTAAATTAGCAGATTTTAAAATCTAGATTTGCCAATCCATTCTGAAACATAACCAAACTATTGCACCATTTATGCAGAGAGCAAGAGCAGACAATACTGTGCAAGGCTGAAGTGAACAGAAAGGACCAAGTTCTGAGAGAGTTTTGCAAGTTCTCTTTAAGTATATCTGGGCCAGGTCTTGGTTCTGACCTGGTGGAACTCTCTGCCAAACAGATTGCATGCAATTCCGCAGGGCCTGTAAGGCAGAGACGTTTCACCAGGCCTTTGGTTGAGGACAGCAACGGTTACCTCATTGGCTAGCACCCATTTTGTATGGCATACCTTGTGGGCCATTAGCCTTCTATGGGGTTTCTGGACCTATGTGTGACTGGCCAAATTGATAAGTGAGCCCCCATCCCTTAACTTACCGATGAATGCATGGGATTGTTGGTCCACCACCCAAACATCATTGTTGTTGCGTGCACATAACTGAGTTTTTGTGACATAGAATCTTGCAGCAACCTCTTCAACGTAAGGAAGCACTTCCTTTCTTGAAGTCCAAGTTGGTAAAAAGGTGATATATCAACAGCTCAAACGATGATGAGACTTTTTTTGTCTCTTTACTACACCTGTACACAATAAGGAAACATGCAATGATGAGAGCACCTGACTTTCAAGATCCTGTTTCAACAGAGACCACACTACCAAAGGAATGTGTTTGACATAGTGGATGGGTAGCTGTGTGTCTGTCTGAGTAGAAAAATTACTATGCTTTAAAGCCTTTGATGAGGGGTTTGAATCTCCTCAACCCATGCCTCAATATTCCAGGGTTTTTTAAATTAAATAAATACAAAAAGCTGCTTTAAAAAAAATCTAAAGGGACAAAGAATAGATGATAAATTAGCTGTTGTAGATTTTCTGGGTTGAATGGCCGTGGTCTTGGCACTGTAGGACCTGACGTTTCGCCAGTAGCTGTGACTGGCATCCTCAGAGGTATAACACAGCAAGATGGAGTACCCTCTGTGTCAAGGTGAGAAGAAAAATGGTAGGCAGGTAATTTATATCTACTCAGGAAGGTGTGGTAGGGCTAAGTCATTATCTTATAAGGAGAAAAGGAGATTGGATTTATACCCCGCCCTTCACTACCCAAAGGTGTCTCAGAGCGGCTTACAAACGCCTTTCCCTTCCCCTCCCCACAACAGACACCCTGTGAGGTAGGTGGGGTTGAGAGAGCTCTGACAGAAACTGCTGTTTTTTCAAGAACAGCTCTTATCAGAACTACAGCTTGCCCAAGGTCATCCAGCCAGGTGCAAGTGGAGGAGTGGGGAATCAAACCTGGTTCTCCCAGATTAGAGTCCGCGCACTTAACCACTACACCAAACTGGCTCTCCCCAGGCTGTGAAAACATGCTAATGGAGGAGCTTTCCTGAGGAGGTTCTTTTGTATATGGATTGTTTCCTGAGGAGGTTTCCTATTTCCTGAGGAGGTTCTTTTGCATGTGGACTGGCTGTTGAAATTCTAATCTTATCTGTAGTGCTATTGTCAGATGTAGAGCCTTTGGTGTTTTTCAGGACAGGAAACCATGCCCTATTTATTTGTATTAAAGACTCAAGCCAGCTTTATCTAGAAATCAATGCCTTGACATAGTACCTTTGTTATTATTGTAGGTCTGATATATAAGAATGTAATTTCTGAAATATGATCCTTGTCTTAATTTAGCTTCTGTAATAGTTTTAGAGCTTCATTTGACCCTTTCCCTTAGGATGTAATATATAAAAACAATAAAAAAATTGTATCTATAAAAAAAAGAAATGTGATATTCCCAAAAACATCAGAGGAAAGCAGTTTGTGGGGAAAGTGTACCAACAATAGGCAAAGGACAATTAGAACATGATTATACCACAATACTATATAATTATTATGGGGGTGCTCCCAAAAAACTGCTGCTGTTTGGTAGCCAAAGCAAAGAAAAACTGCTGTGTAGAAATAGCCTTACAGGACTATAATTATTTTCTGTTTTAATATTCCATAATCACCACCCCAAACCTTTAAGAAATAATTCTAAATCTCATCAGTTCTAAAAAGGCAGCAGGTGAACTCATTTCCTACCATGAAACATAGAACCTGGTGTGGCAGATTTTCTCTTTTAAAATACTATGTTTATAAAGTATTGCCGCAGTTACAGATTTCAATTGTTTGCCTTGTGCAAGTGTGTATGTAAGAGAGAGAAATGCTGACTTTGCATACTGTCTTCAGCTATTAGTCTTGTGCGACTGTTGTTTGAGTATCAGTCATGTCTGTTTCCTCCTTAGTGTTTACAGCACAGTGTGTATGACACAAAGAGAAAGAAAGGGAGAAAGAATGTGTGTGTGTATTTTCCTCCTCTCACCTGAAAAGTCTGGAAAGGACATGACTCATTCTACTATTGAAATAAATGCAAATGACATTTGCTTTTTAAAGTATTTACCAGTGAAATAAAGGAGTGGGTTTTGCATCAGAGATTGTTTACTGTTCTAGGGTTGCCTAGAGATTTGGGGGTATAGCTGGGGAGGGGGTGGAACTGGGCAGGGGAGGGAACTCAGGAAGGGTGTGATGCTATAGAAGAGTTTACCCTCTGAAGCTCCCATTTTCTTCAGGGGAGCTGTTCTTTGTAGTCCGGAGATCAACTGTAATTCTGGGAGAACTCCAGGCCCCACCTGGAAGCTGGCAACCCTACGCATGTGTGGAGGTAAAATTAGTTTAAGTGACTGGTTTCTTAGTAGGGTTTTTAAATTTTGCAGCAAACAAATTGTGCAGTTGTGGCCTAGTTCAAATATTTGATGGGGTCATTTAAACTCCTGTCTTTCCTCTCTGACTGGCTACATTCCAAGACCCCGAGATACCCGGCAGACCCCATCCTGTCCAAGTTGCCACCCTCCTCATCCGTCAAATGTTGTGGCCTTCGTTACTCTGTCCCAGCATGTCTAGGCCCACTCCACTTGGGCCTACATGGCTAGGCCCACCCTTTTTCTTTTTGGTACGCCCCAGGCCTAGGAGCACTTTGCTGCCTCCCATTCCTAAGCCTATGTTCCTTTCCCATGTTTTTCCATAGATATTTCTAGCACACACCACCCCTTGTCCCTTCCCCATGTTGTTCACAGACATCTCCCCCCATCCATGTCCCAAGATCTTCCATGGTGCCCCCTTCCTTGCTGTTTCCACTCATTTCATATCTACTCACCCACATGCCTAGTCCCTCCTTCTCTCTCCCTTCGTCCTCAAATCCAATCTCTCCCCCACCCCCACCCTTTATAGGAATTGTCCTTCCTTTTAAAACCAACCTCACAATCTCCTGTCCCATTCTTATGTTCGCACAGACCTTCCCATCAGCCCTTGCCTCTCTGATAGGCATCTTTTTAAAACTCCACCCACCACAACTCTGCTCCTACCTAGACCATTCTTTTTACATTCTTCCATACTTGCTGTTATAAGGAAGGGTTTGTAATCCTTTTTCTTCAGAGTTCATTAATTGCTTTCATTTTTTCATAACTATTTTTGTTCGTGAGTTGGGGCAAAGTGTTTGTGACAGAAATTGTATGGTACGTAAATTAGTAACTGCATATAAAGGGGGGGCCATGTCTTCATATAACAAGCTCCTCTTCAGGTCAACCATATATTAGATCATTCGCTCATATATTAACTCCTCTTCCATGCCGTTTAGGGATTTTCCCCCCTCAATTCCTGCTCTATATGAAGGCTCACGTATATATTTTACGGTTGGGTCAGGCTAGCCCAGTCTTCTTAGATCTTGGAAGCTAAGCAGAGTCAGCCCTAGTTGGTACTTGGATGGGAGACCAGCAAGGAAGTCCAGGGCTGTAATGCAGAGGCAGGTAATGGCAAACCGCCTCTGAACATCTCTTGCCTTGAAAACTCTACCTGGTCGCCAAGAGTTGGCTGTGACTTGGTGGCAGTCTCCATCACCACCATGAGGACGCATCCTAAGATAAATGTTCAGATCCATACTTCTCTGCAAACATTCGTTCAATTTCTGACAAAAATGCAGCTTTTAAGTTCTGCAGGCACTCTGGTGAATAGAAATGAGCCATTTACCATCAGCAACTTTCAAAGGGGAACTGGTACTTGAATACAAAAATATTTATTAAACTTATCTTCTGACAACAAATAACAATTGCAGTATTCATGAGCTTTCCATTGAAACTGAGTTTTATGATGTGATTAGCTGTGCAGTCTCAGTTAATTACTCTCAGCATTCCACAGTTAAGAAGGCTACATCTCTGCCCATCTGTCTCCGATTCTGATATATTTATTCCCTTCACTATGTTCTCCCTCGGAATTAAATACAAACAAATGGTGACCATATAAACTAAGCTTGTTATTTCAGTTTGGTTCTTGCATCTGTTAAACACCTTTATTATGCTGTATGCTAATTTGCTGTTCATCCTCTACCTATAGGGATGGATTGGTAACTTCCATTTCAATGTATCTAAAGAAGTGTGCATGCACACAAAAACTTATACCTTGAATAACATTTTGTTGGTCTTAAAAGTGCCAGTGGTCTTGAACATTGTTCCAAAGATTTTACATCTTTCTCCTGGCCTTCCCCTGGCACCAGACCTGTAAATCTTTCAACACTAAAGCACTTCATTCACTGAAGCATCTGCAGGAAGAGGGTTACTAACAGCTCAGGAAGGAGAGTTTGTTTAGTTTTGCAAAAGCATCAGGGAAGCAGTTAATACCCTGCCACACCCAGCCCCAATTTTCATGTGGCATCCACATGGCTTAACTTTTTTTTTTTTTAATCCTTCAATGATCCAGTCACAGATCTCATAGTGCCTCTTATAGTTTGACCTCTGGAGCTTTCAAAAGCAGCCGGATGACTCAATGCATTTAAATTTTTTCTCAGGATTAGCTCCAGTTAGAGAACGCCCTCTATTCTTCAGAAAACGGGTAAAAAAATTAAAATCCCTGCCTCTGAGCAGAAGGAAGGAGGTTTAATGAGGGAGAAAGAGGAAAAGGACATCTGTTTGCATTTGCACCCTCAACAAACTAACTCTGCCATAAGAGCATAAGTATAGCCTGCAGGTTCAGAGCAGTGGGCCATCTAGTCCAGCATACTGTTTCATACAACAGTTAAGCAGTTGCCCTGGAAGGCCAACAAAAAGGCCATCGAGGCCAAGGCCTTCCCTTCATGCTGTACTGGTATTCAGAGGGTTGCTGCCTCTGAATATGGAGGCTCCCTTACTCACTATGTCTAGCAGGCACTGATGGAGCTATCCTCCATGAATCTGTCTAATCCCCTTTTCAAGCCATCGACATTTGTGGCCACTACTGGAAGTGAATTCCAGTTTAATTACTTGTTGAAGGAATAATATTTCCTCTTGTCTGTCCCAGACCTATCGTTCATCAACTTCATTGGGTTCCCCTGAGTTCTAATACTATGGGACAGGGAGAAAAACCTCTGTGTATCTACTTTCTCCATTCCATGCATAGTTTTATAAACCTCTATCATGCCCCCAACTTAGCCATCTTTTTTCTAGACTGAAAAGTTCCAGACTCTTCTTTCAGTTTTCATTAATTTTGTGTTAAATGGTGACAACAGTTCTGGCCAAACAAAAACTGTTCTAGAACATTGTGCAGAGTACTTTCTAATTAAGAAACTCACATTTTAAGGGGACAGGATGCACAACAGCTTAAAGTAGCTGGAATGGAAGATGAAATCAGCATTGGTGTACCTGGACATACACATCCCCAATCACAATGACTCTCATGCAGTGCAGAGGAAGAGGTAAATATACACATGTCCTCTATCACTCACTGTTTGTGCTAGCTTCTGGCTCAATTAGCTTCAAGTTTCAGCAGTCAGCATTACAGAGCAGTTGCACTTTGGACTGCTGTGGTTGAGGGTTAGTGCAGTACAAAGATACCCCAACTTGCCCACGCCGGAAAAACCACAGCACAGGAGACACAAGTATTTAAATCATAAGACGAAATGGAAGGATAACGGTAGTTTCCCACTGATATGTTCACATGGCTCACAAGGAATATTACTTAAGCACTTTTTAATGACAGGGCAGCATGCATGGATTCTGAGATATATGGAACACACCCACCCTTGTCCTTCTGGATTCCCTTGGATAAAGGTAATTATAAGAAGGTCTTCTGCTACTAAGGAGGCAGCAATTAAGCTACCTGACTCCCAAGAATTTCTGGAAAGGGAGAAAAAAACCTCCTTATGTGTAATTTAAAGAACGATAAGGCAGTGCTAATGCTGAAAAATGCTTCTCAACAGCTTCAAGAGAGGAGAACATTTTAAGCCCTTGGCATTTCACAGCACAGCTCTCTCCTGTACCGCTGGATTAAATAGCTGAAGTTCAGGCCTGCTTGTGAGAATATAAAAGTAAGACAACTTCTTGTTGGACTTTCCCACACACAGGCTCAGTAAAGCAGCATTCAGAGGAGGACAGCTCAGGTTTTATTTGCCTTGCAAAAAGCTTTCAGTGCTCTCTATGGTGCAGGAGGCTGTTGCTCAGGGAAATGGTATTGGTGTTCCATACTTCCCAGGGAACATTTTCCCCAGACAGTGGTCCTTTCTGCACTTGGATCTCATCCCTGGTTTTTTCAGAGTTCAGCTCGCGACACAATACCTTGCATTTAAGCCGCTCAGAGAGACCTAGACAAGGGATTCGAGCGGGATATAAAGTTGAACGAATAAATAAATAAATTTATCCCTGGTTATGACAGCATCCGTTTATCCCGGCACAACTGTGGGGCGAAACTGTGGTGATCCCAATGTAATGTGGAAACAAAAAATACCCCGAGATAATTACAGGGGTGAACTCGCGTGTAGTGTAGAATGTAAGTTTGGGGACAGGGTTGAACCAGGAGTTAAGGTCTAGTGTGGAAAGGATCAGTGACAGCCTTGGGACTTTAAACAAATACCCAGGATTCTCACAGGAGAATCAGGACAGTTGAGGGGATAAGACAACAGGGTGGGCATACTCCACTGACTGACTTAGGCACCTGAACAGCTCACTAGAGGGGTCTTGGTAGGGAGGCAAGCACAGTATGCAGCTTTTTGTCTTTCATCCTGTAAAGATTCCTGCCCCACTGAGAGATCACCAAGTGCCTGAGCACATGCTCTGCTTCCATGAATAACATCTAGTCCCATGAAAAAAGCATGCATGTGCAGTCCTCACCAGCAGTTCTGGGGAGCAGCCATGGAGGCAGGAGGCTGTGTGCTTTCCCCACAAAGATAGGCAACCTCTAACATTATTGGACACCCTGTGCCAACAGTTTTGTGCAGATATGGATTCTGTATACCACACTGACTTTACCTTTGGGTGGGGAAGTTGGCAATTTAGTAAATAAATAACACACCACATGTATAAGCTGCACATTTCTTATAGCTGCACCAAAGATTTATCTAACTTCTGCAACAAAGTATTACAATTAACTTTAACATTACTATTTGGAAAACGTGAAATGTGAAGGAAAATTGCACCATGGCAGTCTCTATCATGCCTCACTTGTGATCTTTCCAGGTACATCTGGTTGGACAGTGCTGGACAAAATGGACGCAACAAGACAAGTCTCATATTTTGATGGTCACTTCATCTCTTCCCAGATAGCAGCTTCTGCACACGTTGACTTTTTCCATTCTTTTTCCTTGCTGGTATACTTGAATCTTAATATGATGCCATCAGTGAAATGACTCATGCTGGCATTTATATTTATGGATTTCACTGAAAGCCTCTTCAGTCACATATGATGCCTTATACATCCATAGAAACAGCTCACCTTTCCTTGGCCTATCCCGTGAGTTCTCTGGAGATGAGCAGATTATGGTGACATCAGCTTTTGTGGCATCCACTTCATGAGATGCACAAAGTGTGCTCTTGGTTGGCAATGACTTTTTAATACTGCTATTTACAATGTTTGCCCCTGTGCCCATCTAGCAACCAAAGATAACATTCACACATCTGATGAAAGTGGGCTCTGTTCCATGCAAGGTTATGTTCATAGTAAATTTGACTCTTTAAAAAGATTTGTTGTTTTTGTTTGGGGGACAGAATTGTCACTCCATTAAGGGGGGGGGGGAATGGATCACTGGCTCACTTCATAGGTGCATTGTGAGAAGACTGTTTACACCCGAATTCCAGGCATAGAAGATCCATCTCAACAAACAGTCCATGTTGAGGAAAATCTGTTCTTGGGGTATATTTTTAACAAATCCTACTCAAAATATGGCATATGCTTGGAAGAAATCTAGACTTTTTCCTCCAGACACATATTCTTCTACACACAGGGAAGTGTTTTTTGTTTTGTTTTTAACAGGGTGGAGCAGTCGATCATGTAATGCCTTAACTGCAATCAGGAGCAGCTCGGCCCAAGAACAATTTTGCCATATGACAATGAGTTTGTGTAGATCTGATGTAGTTTGAAAGTCAACATAACCTAACCCATTAGTCTTATTTCCTAATAAACGTATTTGGATCAGGATTCTGGAAAGCAAGCTGAAAACTGACCAACGAAAAGCTAGTGGTGTGTGTTTTAAACTTTAAACTGCATAGTTAAAAGTTCAAAACAATACATATATGGCAAGGGAAGATTAATACTGATGGATATTGAAAACGGAATATTGCTTGCAACTTGTTGTATCTACCTTGTGACTGGGTAAAGAATGCATCACTCAGAACTCTGCTGTTTGTTGCCCAAAAAACTAGTATTTTTTGATCCTTGAACATTCCTTGTGAGTTTAAGGACATTCTTCATCGATGGACTTTTCCAGTCCATGCCAGAACAAAAGCATCTCAACAGATGTTATAAAATGGCTTGTGACAAGTCTCCTGTAGCGACATGGAGAGAATTCAATTCGGCCTACAAAAAATACTGGCTCCGAATGAAGTGCTTCCATTTTGATTCTGAGATGAGAAAGGCACAGACCTACAAATATATTCTCCAGTTTAAAAAAGGGGATCTTTTTAGAAATGATGTGCATACGACTAGCAACATCGGTGGAGAAAACATAAGCAGCTCCTGAACAACAGGGAGGGTATTTGTTCCAGGGATACTCCTCTTTACTCACATACCACTTACTTCTTGGATCCCTTACTGGATGAGCTTGCATTGTTAAGGCACCTGTAAAGAATCTGGTGGTTCTGTTTCTTTTCAAAAGAAGTTCCATCAAATAAAGAGGGTTGACAAACATATCAGAGTCAGTTTTCATTACAAAACTAGATTGTGGACAAAATGTATGAACCCATTCAAGGCCCATCAAAGTCTTTAAAGTTAAATTATAGAAAGTATCTAAAAAATCCTTCTGGATGATGTCTTTATAAAGTAAACTTTCCATCATAATGGTAAACCCATCCTGGTAATGTGAAGGACTTCCTAAAAGAAAAAATGTCACAATGCGTTTGTCAGTGACTACTCTTTCCTTGCCCCACGTCTCACGGATGGCCATCCGGGTCTTAATTTGGTCACGACAAGATGTAACAAGTATTATTAGGAAGGGAGGATTCTTTCTGCAATCTATATCTGGCATTTCCAAAAAAATTCTTCTGTTTGGCTGGAAAATAGGCATGTCCTTCAGACAGACTGAGCAGATTCCAATGGATTTGAACATAGTGAGTAAGTTGAAACAGGCTAGTGCCAGTGTCATAACAACAATAAGGATCCATCTCCTGAAGGCCATCTGAAAGAGGAAAACATAATCGAGAAATTCCAACTTTCTTCAACATTGTGCAAAGTCAGTGTTAAAAAAGCAGTTTAAGTTTCTGTTGCTGTTGTCTAATGTAACAAATAATTCTATTTTTACAGATACAAAAGTTGAAAATATAATAACATCCTGAAAAATACAGCATCCCCATTGTCCCAGGTGTCTACAGAGTTCCTGCATTCTGTTTTGATTACAACCTTTCCCAAGAACAGCTTAATGGAAAAGAATGACACATAAACCAATTTTATAAAGCCACCATGGTATACTAGTTAGAGCAAGGGTGGCCAAACTTGCTTAACATAAGAGCCACATAGAATAAACGTCAGATGTTTGAGAGCCGCAAGACATGAGCAAATATTACATACACGTTTTTATTGAAATTATGCAAATGTGCTTTTTATTAACATTAAATGAAACTGCCAAAAATAAAAACAAAAGGGTAAAAACAGATATTGATAATGATATTTATTTGTCCAGTGATATTTATTTGTTTGCTAATGATATTTATTTGTCTGAGAGAGAGAGAGAGGTGGAAAGAAAGAATGAAAGAGCTGGAAAGAAAAAGAGAGAAACAAAGCAAGCAAACAGATGGGGGAGGGAGGGGGAAGGAAGGAAGGGAGAAAGAGAGAAATAAGAAAGAAAGGTGGAAAGAAGGCAAATAGATGGGGAGGGAGGGAGGAAGAGAGAGAGAAAGAGAAAGAAACAAAGCAAGCAAATAGATGGGAGGAGGGGAAGGAAGGGAAAGGTGGAAAGAACGAAAGAGATGAAAAGGAGAGAGAGAAACAGAAACAAAGAAAGCAAATAGATGGGGAGGGGGAGGAAGGAAGGAAGGAAAAGAAAGGAATGGAGAACGGGAGAGGGAAACAAAGGTGCAAAGAAAGAGGTGGAAAGAAATCAAATAGATGGGGGCAGGGCGGAAGGAAGGGAGGGGGAGGGAGGGAGAGAGAGAGAGAGGTGGAAAGAAAGTAACTTTAACTTTAAATGTGTCCTTCAAGCCCCCCCCCCAGCCCCATGCTGGCTGGTTTGGCTTGGCAAAGGGATTTAAAGAGACAAATGCCTTCTCCAAGATGGCCAGCGGGGGTGGGGCTGTGACTGATCACTTTTAAAGTTAAAGTTGCTCCCCCCACCTCAAGTCTACCCAGGGAGGGGAACACTGGCTGGGGAAGGGAAGACCAATTGGGGAGGAATGCCTCCCCTTCACTTCCACAGCTGCCCTGCCGGGAGCTCTACAATATGTGTGAAAGAGCCACATGTGGCTCCTGAGCCGCAGTTTGGCCACCCCTGTTCTAGACTGTGTTATCTTTGTTTTCCCTGAATTGGGTCCCAACTAATAAAAGAAAGGTGAGCTTCTAAATTTTTCAATAAATACATAAATGTACACTGACACAACAGAAATATATTATTTAGCTTTCTAAGGCATTTCATTAACTATTCCAATAGTGTTTCACTTCAAAGTCTGAAGCTCATGAGAATCCCTCCTTTTTTGTGTGCTCACACAAGATATCCTTTCCTGAAATACAACAAGAATTATTACACTAATATCAGGATTAACAGTAAGGCAGAAGTTTTATAAATGAACATAGCACTGACATGACTAATTGAGTGTCAGTTAAAATATTTACGAAAGGATGTATTTGTCCTTATGGTATTGGAGAGGCTGATACTATCAATCATATTTTGCTTGCATGTGGGGTCTATCAAAATATATGAACTACATTTATCCAACCCATACGGGAAAGGCTTTCAGGCCTTTCAGATTCTGATATTAGTATTTTGCTTATGATAGACGTCAATCCACAGGTGACATTAGCATGCGCCAAATTTTTGGAAGCAACCTACAGAATTAGGAAAGATCTCTTAAAAGCATAACTCAAAGACTCTTAGACTAATGCAGTGTATTATCTTGGAAATGGTTTTGAATTATTTTGAGATGGATGGATGGATGCTTGGTTGGACTGTTTGTGCTGGTTACAAACCATAATAAAGATTTCTGTTCAGATGTATTCCTCCTGATATAAATCTCAAATTATTAGCATTTAGTAATCATGCACAAGGTTGAACTGCTTATGGGCTAAAATCCACTGGAAACACCCAAATGGCAAGAACTTGGCTTTAAAAAAAAAAAAAAAAGCTTAATAGTTATCTACTGATGTAAAAAAAGAAAGAAAAGTCCCCAAGGAATAGAGAAAGCAAAGGTTTTTCCTGGCCAAGTTTAGCACCCTTTCAAACCATACCCACTTGCAGCCATCCTGAAGAACTGAAAAGCATACTTAATAGATCTATGTGCACTAAGAAAAAATGAATTAAAATGAGTGCTCTTTTCCAACTGCAGATAGGAAGGGTCGGCAGGACACGCCAGGTATAAGCATATGGCAAGGATGCAAAGAACCAGGCAATGATTCTGCACGCTCAAGAGAAATATGGCCTCCTTCATTATAGAGACTAAAAGAATAATTTGCTCTGGGAGGTCAGTTTCACACATAATCCCTGCTACAAATCTGCTAGCTAGCATTACACAAGACTCTCCCCATTAAGGTTGCTAGATTCCCTCTGGTAACCAGGGGTGGGAAAGTAGTAGGGTTGCCAAGTCGTTGCAGTCGGCGCAGCGAGGGAATCCCGGGCGGCGACTGGAGAGAGCGCACGCAAAGCGCACGCACGTCACAGGCACGTCACCCGGAAGTGACGTTAGGATGCCGGGCACGCTGGGGGTGGGGCCACGATCATCGGAGGGAAAATCATAGAGTTTTCCCTCCGATGTTTGTGGCCCCGCCCCCAGTGTGCTCGGCATCCTAACGTCACTTCCTGGTGACGCACACATAGGGGTGGGGTTCCCCCCGGGGCCCGATCCGCCGGTGGCGGGGAACAGGCCTCTGGGGCCGGGGTTTCCCTGCCCCCCGGGGGGACTTGGTAGCCCTAGAAAGTAGGGTTGCCAGTTCCAGGAGATTAGAGGGTGAAGCTGGAGAGGACAGGGACTCAGACAGGTACAATGACATGGAGTCCACCCTCCAAACCATCTGTCTTCTCCAGTGTATCTGATCTCTATAGTCTGGAGATGAGCCGTAATTCCAGGGGATCCCCAGGTCCCACCTAGAGAGCTGGCAACCCTACTTCCTGACTGTCTTTCAACTGCTGTCATATAGGGATTACAAGACTCTTGTAAAACTTCTATGATCGTTTGCTTAGTATTTCATTGTTTTTTACCTTTGACTGAAAGAAACACGGCAAGATTCTTCATATACCTGAATTAGGCCTAGCTTTTCAATCTGGGCCTTCCGCACTAGTTTCTTTTTCCTGTCTAAGACCTTGTGCTAAGGGAGGCCAGTGCCAGTTCATACTTCCAGGGGGAGACCCCTTGAAGAAAATTCTCTGTATTGCACCCCATCAGTGCTTACTAATGGACTCTCCCAGCCCGGTTTCTGTCCAGGCAGAGGTAGCTAAGGGGGTGGCAACTAGTAGTTTCTAGCTGCTGCTTGGGTGGAGGAGGGGAGTAAATGCCTAAATCTTCTATCACTATACACATGTTTTTTAAAAATTTAATCTCTGCTACAGGATCTCAATACACTGTGACTGACAGTGTGTGAAAGTACTTGGGGGGGGGAGTGCTTGCTTGTTGTGTCGGCCTGCAGTAGGAGAAACTAGTATGTTCATTAATCCATCTTTGTTTTCCTGAGCAGAACCCAACCATTTGAGTAAAAGCTAACTAACTATATCTGTTCCTTGTGCTATTTGAGAGCAGTGAAGGCAGAAAGGCATTGCATACATTGATTATATAGCCTATGACCGGTACAAGACAAAAAAAAATGAGCAATGTTGTTTTGTGGAATGTTTCTGTGCACTAGAGCCATCACAAGCATGTAATTCTAATTTGCCACATGAGTGTGGAAATTAACCCATTGGGTTTGATCCTGAGCATGTAATCTTCTTGACCTACCGAATACTATTAACAACTGCATTCGTGTAATTTATTTAGAACAATTGTATCATGCTTTCTTCATAGAATATTCTAGATGGTAAATAAAAAGAACTAGACTGAATTCCTCACTCATACCCATCCACAGAGATATGGTGGATTCTGAGATTATAATTATTATACAAGGTAAAGCCAGTGCAGAATCAGTTGGGGGTGGGGACCTGTGTTCCCTCTAAACTGAGTTAATGTGAGCTAGCTCACAGTTTTTTAGCCTGCGGCTCACAGATTTTTGTCTCAGCTCAGGAAGGAGGCCTCCAGAGCAAACTAGTTTATGCAGCAGCCAAATCACTTGCTCACAACTTTAATGTCAGGAGCTCACAAAGTAGAATTTTTGCTCACAAGACTCCACAGTTTAGAGGGAGCATTGGTGGGGACCTCTTTAAATTTCAGATGCCTTTTATTATTTTGGCAGAGGATTATAATCCCTGTGCTATCTAATCCCTAAAACAGAAAACAACATTCTTTTTATTAATCTAGCTCAGGAGCTTGGATAGCATTAATTTTACAACACAGTGAATGAATAGTCAAGCATCTAGGTATGGTTTCCAACCTCCAGGTGGGGCCTGGAGATAGCCAAGGAGATCTGACCTCCAGACTACAGAGATAAATCCCTCTGGAGAAAATGCCCAAAGATTGCGGTACCCACTTTCCCGGGGTGGGGGATCGTCCAGAGGTGTCTCACTGTCCCTCTGGGAAGGTGGTATCACTCCAGTGAGTGTTGGCAGCAAATTACAAAGGGAAGTAGCTCCACCGGGCAGTGAGGGCAGGTGACAACATGGGCTTGCGGGGCGTGTGGCTTTGATGATGTGGTTTTCCTCTCCGAAAAACCAGTCCCCACCGTATTGGCCGCTGTTACCGATATGTGATGATCTGACTGCCACTGCCAACTACACTCACAAGGTGGATTCCACAACAAGGCCATATCTAACCCCCCCCC